GTTCGGTGGCCGGTCTTCAGAAAGAGACATGATGTATTCCATCAGGGCAGCGTTGACCTCTTGAGCCTCCTTACGGACATCGTCGACATCGTGCGACATGCGTGGCAGCACGTACGAAAGCAGACTTGGGACAAACGGCATTATGTCCTCGGGACAGATGTCGAAGAATGCCTTGATCCAGCGCAGCGACGTGAGGAGGATGCTAGTCTGCTCTTCTTCCGCGTCTACAGTCGTCAGCCTCGTCATTACTGTACAAGTGTCGGTGCCTTACCTGATGGCGAGCTGAGGAAACCAACCAGAATCTCCAGAATCTTTGGGTGGTTGACATGCACATCTTGTCCAGGAATCCAATCGCCGTCCCCATTCACAGACTTGCCACTGTCGCCAGATAGCGAGCCACTGTCTCCGCTGGTAGTGTCTCCTTCTTCTACGGACACCTGGCGCTCAAGCGGAGAACTGCCTGTGGTTTCGCTCTCGCCTCCAGCATCGCTGCGGATGCTCGACGACGTAGATAGTCTTCGACCGTCCTTGCTCTGACTTCGCTTGCTCTCCGCGATGCCTTTCTTGATCCTTGCGATCTTTCTAATCTCGTTGAGGAACCTGTCCAAGGCAACCTGCGTCATGGTGTACACGTCAGTGTTCGAGTCGCTGAGGAACTTGAAGAGGCCGCCGAGGAAGCGAGGAAGATGAGCAATAAGCTCCAGGTCCGGTATCGAGTCGAGTAAGGTAACCCACGCAACTAAGAATGAGCGTGTGTAAGGATTGATGACATTTATGCGCTCTTCGAGGAGAGGTAAGAATCGTTCGAGGTTAAAGGCAGTCTCGAGATGGGGAGGAGGATGATCGGGCGACTCGTCTGGGTGGCCCAGCGGCTCATCTTGGTGCAGAACAGATATGTACGAGGCTGCAGACTCGGACACGATGTCCTTCACTAGACGATCGAGCAGCTCAGCTCCATTCTTCACTGAAAGTTCGGAATCGGCGGCAAGCTGATGATCGTGTTAGCATGTACTCGTTAAACTACTGACCTGGGACTCGCCTTGCACAATGCGTCAAACACCTGGTTGAAATACACAAGTATCTCTCCCTTTGCGACCTTTGCGATGTTGTACATGCTCTCGCATGCATAGTACCTGACGCGCGCATCTGAGTCGGAGAAGCATGCGAGGACTGGAGGAACAATTTCTTCAAGATAGCGGGCTACTTCCTGTGTCGTGTGAGCACTACACCACTCGAATATACTTCTTTACGTACAGGCCCCAGTGCTATCGAAGCCGCAGCCAGACCAATGAGGCCTCCATTGCGGGCGTGCGGCTGGTGGACGGCATATGCGTAGTGGTGGCAGAGCTCGTGGACGATCTTCGCTATCCTGTCGTGGTCCTGCGCCTGGAGTGCATCGCGAATAAGGCCCTCGAGCTCGAGTGCGCCGCTTTTGCGCTTGTCGTAGAGCTTGTCGTTAAGCGCTTTGGTGATATTGGGGTCCATATTGATAGTGTGCGGCAGCTGCCTTTACATGGTGCAGCTATGGCTTCATCGTCGCTCGAGGCGTGGACAGGGCGGGCGCAGGCTACGTGAATGGCCGTTGGCAGGTGCGGTTGTTGTCGCGTCGCCGTGCATGCTTCAAGAACCCAGCCATGCGGGGACTGACGTCGACGTACCGCAGCAGAGCCATCCCTGCCCGCCAACACGGGAAGTCCAAGGCCAACGAACGCCTGCGGGACAGCGACTGTCGCACACACAACTTTGTCGAGGGCGCCATTTATGAATAGCAAGAAACCACGCTGGACCTGCTCTGCGCCATGACGCCCAAAAGCGACCGGATCCATCCCAACCAAGTTCATCATAGCCTTGCCTCGCCCTCACTCGTCGACTCGGCCTAAGCGCTATACCTGACTAGTGCTCTACCACCCACCTGCTCCCGTCAGGTGTCTCGCACGCCCAACATGGAGAAGTTCAAGAACAAAATCCACACGCTGCGCAGGAAGCCCCTGCCAGACCATCTCAGAGAACCCGTTATGAATATACCAGACGGATTTCGGAACTGGGCTGTAGCATTGTGAGTAGCATCTCCCAGAGATAAGGCTTGACATGTAAATCTCGGACGATTGCATATAGCAAATGCATCCAAGGCGCAGGGATACGTAGCGATTGTGAATGTGAAGCTGACTGCAACAGTATCGTCTGCAACTTCAACGTCGATGTAGGGTAGGTAAGAATGAGCGAGTCCGCCAGGGGGGGTAATAAGTTGACCTTCCAAGGCCAGAGATCGAGATCTTGTACCCGCCAACAGTTGCATTCAGCACCTCGGATCTGACTGCAATATGCTTCAACAGGTAGCACTACCTCTCGAGATCGCTTGTTTCGACGCTGATTCTACCAGCTTTCCAGAACAACAAAATACCGAAACAGCTGAAGACTTGGCCTTCAACTTCACTGTCGCGAACAACTCGCCTGATATCAAGCTGAGCTCACCAAACTCACCGCATGGCAGCGCCGATATATTCTTCGCGTCGTGTGTCTTCCGCCAGGAGTTCGATGACACCATGAAGAGAAGCTTCAATCAAAGATCGATGGTTTTAATCTCACATCATAACTTCACCAGCTTCAACAACCGGATACTCCAAGTCATGACAGAAAGCGGCGTGATCAGTGATCCGAGCACTCTTGAGGGAGCACATGCGCAAATGAACAACTGGTCGCCACCGTCGATAGGTCGCCACGAGCTGCCGTTCCTAGGTCGTGTCTTGACGTTGGATATCGCGCCTCATCCATCTTTCCCCCTCCAAGGTCTCGGTGGATCTATTCCTCTGATAGCTGAGCCACATCCCTCCATCTACGCCTATGAGCCTGTAGGATCATGGGACACCATCATGAACTTCATGCCGTGTATCACTGACCTCTACGTCCTATACGAGAAGCTGATCCTCTGCGAATCCGTCATCGTAGTCGCCAAGTCCCCCCAACTGGCCAGCGAAGCCGTCTCCTCCCTCCTCGACATTATCCGACCCGTGCCCTATGCTGGCGTCGTAAAGCCCTACATGACCATGCAAGCAGACTTCCGCAGCATCGGCATCGACGGCGGCACACCACGACCATTTGTCATCGGCATCACCAACCCCTTCCTACTAAAACGCATCATCGCCGCCGCAGAGAAAACCCAAGGCCAGCGCCCACACATATTGTACCTGCAGAACTTTGATGGGCCCGTCCCAACGCGGCGACACCACTCTCTGCACCACAAGTCCAGCCGCAACGTGCTCCTCGACCTGCCGGGCGGCGGCATCGAAGTGCACACGCCGTCGAAACGCTTCCTGAAATCAGACACCGCATTCGTATCCCAGATCGAAAGCACCTTGAAACTCGACGCCCAAACCTCTTCCCTCGGCCCGCTCATACGCCGCCACTTCGCCGAGCTCACAGCGACCTTTATCGCGCCTGTAAACCGCTACCTCGCCACCTCCAACGTTGTATCCCCTGGTGGCCACCAGCGGTATGCGAGTTTCTCCATCCCTGAGTTTCTCGCTAGCGTCAGCAAGTACGGGACGAGCGTGAAGTTGCGAGGCCAGGGACCGATTCAGCGGCACAAGGCAAGGGATACGTTGTATGCGGGTTTCTGCGCGAGTGAGAATTTCTACAGTTGGCTGGATGTCAAGATCAGTTTGGAGAACGAGGCGAGTGCGGGTTTGTTGAGTGGGAAGGGGGGCTGAAGTGTGGTGGTGAGGCAATGAAGGTTTCGTAGCGTAATGTGTAATAGACTGAGGTTATTGGGGTTCTTATTCCACGATGTGATGCGCGAGGTACACGTCCTGGAGGTTCTCGTTGGTTGACGCCGGGCAAGACGTCTAGCTCAAAGCCACAACGATGTCTATGGGGAGACTGATACAACAAGTAAACCGCCCTGACGCTGATATGCCGCAGGAAAGACACGATGTCGTACTGATCGAGTAACACACCAACTACATGTTAGACATCTTCCAATCTGGACACCGCGTAACTGCTGATAGAACTAACTGTGTCTATGAATCAGGATCACATCATCTAGAGGAGCACTATGTGTATGGCGCGCAGCTACTCGCCTCGTCTCGTGCGAGAAGATTCAATTCATTACTCGCGCAGACCACACTCCTCCAGAAGCCACAGATCACATTTCCCCGGCATGTACACAGCAAAGACGTTAATAGTGACCCTGCGGAATTATCACGACAGAAGGGAGGCTTGTTCTTTTCCCAGATGAGATAAGTCTCAATGCTCGTGGGATGGGGATTACGGATAGAAATCTGAAAACAAAAAATAAAACAAAAAAAGGAAGAGGGACAAACAAAAAAACAAAGAAGAAAACAAGAGATGGCTGGAGGCTCTCTGCACACTATCTGTACTTAGATAATACCTCTGGAGGCTACAATCACTTCTGCGTCGTAGACTGGTTGGTTCTGTAACATGAGAGATCATAGAGGCCAGGAAGACGAGGGAGTTGTTTGCAAAGCCGCCTGCAGCAGTGGACAAAGATTGTATTCAGAGGATAGCAGAAGCGTCTAGAGTAGTCTGTGAAGTAGGCAGCAACTTCTATCATCGTCAGGCGGTCTTTCATAGTTGGGTTCTCTTTTGTCACTGATCGAAAGCACTCGGTAAGGTGCTCAACTTCCTTCTATCCACTCCCTTTGTGAAATGCGAAGTTGGTGGCAATCAGGTCATAATAACATCTACTCTTTAGCACCTCGTGTTACCCAGTATGCAGGTGGTCCTGAATTCAATGACAGTTAGTCCATGATACTCGCTTGTGGAGTCGTGTTCGTCAGTGACAGGGACGCACTTCAGAGGAGATAAAAGATCTACCCAAGCATTATACGATAATTCCGCCTAATTTTGTGAAGGCTGTTGTACATTGATAAATGGTCTGGACCTTGGTTTTGGGTAGAAAGACCCACATCGCTTGTTCCGCAAATTTGACCAAGTCGAAAAAAAAACCAACCACCACATCAACCACAACACCACAAAAAAGATGGACAATCTGGGAATCGAACCCAGGACCTTTCCCAGGCTGTGCACGAGGTGCTAAGGGAAAATTATACCACTAAACCAATTGCCCGTTGTTGATTGATGGAAAAATGATGACCTGAGACAACTATTATGAAAGACAAAAAGTGGTGGAATTGAGTCAATTTCGAACTAAAGATATCAGAATCGAGTAAGAACAGACACAATCCGTGTTGATAAGCCTCACTACTCAGTATCACTGCTTGTGCTTGTGCGTTGGCGCTGGCCTACGAGGCGGCAGTTCAGCTCATGGGCTAGACGACGATTCGAACCACAACTTCTCTCTTTCTTCACACACCCCTCCATCAATTCGATATTCTCTTCCTGTCAAACGGTAACGACAAATATCAGGCATGCGATTTCTGCAGAAGATTTGAGAAGGACGTGTAAGTGCTGTTGCGAGATTCTTACAACGAGCCTTGGACGTGAACGACACAAATCATGCTCAGCCAAGGCCCTTCGCTCACGGTTCGAAAAGCTAGATCTCAAGAAGGAATAAAATACAGGCTTGCTTCTACTGCATGGATGTGTAGGTAATTGCTGGCTTGTTTGCTCGCGCTTCCGTCCTCGGAGCTCTGCGCACTCGCATTCTCTGTGCACCGTTTGCACGTCCTGCCTACGGCTCTTAGCTTTCTTGAACTGTTATTCCTAGCAATGCTACGGCTCTTGACTAGTTGGGTTTCCTGCTTTTAGCATAGAACCTGAGGTGGTTGCTTACTTCGTCACTTCGTTCCTTGGCTGCGTATTCATGTTGTGAGCCAGGCTCCGCTCTCCCTTTCACAGTGTACCTCACTTTGGTGGTCCTTGATAAGGAACCCGTTCTTGCAGAGGTTGTGTAGCTGCGCTTGCAACTTCTATGTGCGGTCTGCAGCGTATTGCATGGAGGAATCGAACATCGCCGCACACTTGCTGACTACTTCTACACGCAATCACCGATAGATAAAGCAACTAGCAAGATACCATCCACTGACAACACTGTTCCGCTAGCATGACCAAAAGGCTCGTCAAGGAGTAGTATACAACATGGAGAAGCTGCTGCTCTTGTTGGTCAGTTTGCTTGCTTGCTTGCTTGCTTCCTTGTTGCCTCTTCTTCTCTGCAGAAAGTAGTTGATAGCGCGGACGAGAACTTGATTCAGTTTGGTCTGGTTTGTTGAGGTTAATACCACCCGCAGTACTTTACTATACTCCTACTGATCCAAAGCATACAACAAAGTGCTCGCTCCTCTCCGCGTTATTTGGCTCACATACTTGATGCAAGAATCTCGTGAATATCATATGTATCATTGTTAATAAACTCTTGATCGTACAGCCCGCCCTGAATGGCAGCAAGCGAAAAAAACATTAACAAAAGGTATCCCGTGGTAATCGAATCCTTCCCATCCCAACATTGAAATCCAGTAAGAAACGCCATCCGTATCAGTCGTAACTCGCGTTTGTCTTCTTCATTGCGTGCGCAAGCGTCATAACGCGTTTATCGGATGACGGCACCGTCCTTGCCCGGGGGCGGGCCGGGAGGAGGAGCGTACTGGTTGTTGCCACCATATGTGGGCTGAGGGCTCTGCAGCTCGACGCCGTTCTGCTGGCCGTAGTAGCTCTGGTTTGCGCCGTTGCCGTAGTAGCCGTTGTTGTTGTTGGTAGCAGCGGAGTAGGGTGGTGCGGGCGCGCTGTTGTAGTTGTTGTTGTGGTAGGGCTGCGCGTTGTTGCCGCCCATGGGTCTGGCAGCCCAGCCTGTGCCGTAGAAGGGTGTGCGACCGGCCTTTCTCCTGCGACGCGCGGTGATGCAGCTTCGTGATGTTAGTGATGTTCGGGTTTGAAGCGCTGAGCCGAAGGCAGCTGACTTACCTGCACAGGAAGAAGAGGAGCAGGAATCCTATTACGATGACTGCGAGAACGACCCATCGCACCCAAGAGTTCCACGCGGACTGGCGGTAGCAACGTCGAACACCATAGCGGTCGTAGTAGCACCTTGATGCCGCCATGACGTTAGTGATTTGTGTAGATAGGGCTGCTAACAGCAATAGTCGCGAGTTTAATGTCGATGTGGAGAGCATGTTGATGGTATCGAGGAGCAAGTCGAAAGTTGAAAGGAGGTAGATACAGATATGTTTGTGTTGTGAAATGCGCGATGAATGACGTCTTGCGCACCGCTCGCAGAAGCTGGGGTGCGCGACCAGGTTATAACGACGCCTCAAGGAAATGCAAAGCCACAGACTAGCAAAGGAACATACTCATCATCATAGAATTGCCGAGCAACTAGAGCAGGCATCTTTGCGCTTGCTTGGCCGTTGTCCGGTCGAAACTAGAGGTGTCTGGGGAGCTGTGAGAGGATGTTGCCAATGTGTGGGCCACGGGTACAAGTCGTAAGGTGGGTATGACGAAGTCTAAATGCTTGAACAGGCCTGCCTCTCGAAGATCGGTGCGGCTGTGCGCTTGGCGGGACGGCTAGTTCGGCTGAGACGGAGAGAGCTGCCATTGGCAATGACGACGCCTGGGGTGTTGTGATTCGCTGTAGAGGCGAATTTGAGTGAGCTGCTGATGATCTGTTGCGCGTGCGGTGGCTTGGTCGCCAGATGTGGCATACCAAAGCAAATAGATGACTGTCGAAGCTTCCACACTGCTCACCGGGGAGCGTATCGGTGAAAATTGACCGTTTCGATTTGAAGTATACAGGGTAATTGCCACAACTTCGATTTCACATTGTGGCACGGCAGCTGTACGCTCCTAGAAGCAAGCTAAGAGCAAGCCATCATCAACGCGTGAGACAGTGTGTGTTGGCACACTCCTGGAGGTCCGCAAGATCTTGCAGAGCAGCCATTGCAACATGTACAGCAGTCCTTGCGTATACTCAGATCGCACATGCTTCTCTTGGTGGTATTCAACTCGAGACTTCGTCAAAGACAATCCTTGAACAGATCGTGGGACGCTGCAGCAATCCATGCAGCGCCGTTAGCCATGTGGCCCACATTGCCCACAAGGCTGATGCACCAGCCTCAAGCTCGCTGCACGCCACGGCAGCTGTGCCTTTCCACCCACTTTCATCGTTTCTAGTCAAGTCCTTGAGTGTCTCATATCTCCCTTCTTTTTAGGGCCTTGCACACGATACCCATCGCAGCATCATTCCAGCAGTGTATGCGAAGGCAGGGATGCGCGACTGGCCCATGACACTGCAGCCAATGAGAGCGCTCAAGGCTTCAATTTCCTGGGTGCGCTAATGCAGGATGAGTTGTTCAATTGTAGATGGCATGGTTGCCCGCTGGTCCCACTGCCAGCGAAGCTGCTGAAATAATACTATTACTCGTGGTCGTGCCCTTTCTGAGCTCTTTCTCTCTCTGTGTGCATTCCCGCGGTCCTGTTACCGTGCTTCTTGTTCACCTTGCGCCTGTAGAGCTCGACGCTGCGACTCTGTACGAAGACGGATACCCGTTCAAGGACCGACTGCGATTCCTGTGCGACCGCGACACGAGAGGAACAATTCCGTCAGCTTCCCACAGTATTGGCGCTTGGATCCAGGTGCGTCACAACAGCACTCTGCGACGCTACTTGCGTGCTTGCAATTGCAAGTTATGAGCGAGGATTGCAAACGAGTGCTGCTTTTAGACACGAGGTCACGGGCATGCGCAAGTCACGATTTGCAAGGGGCACGCAGCCACCGTCATGCGGAATGCAAACGAAGCTGGACGCAGTACTTTGAAAGTCACAACATTGGTTTCGCTACATACTCAAACCAGACTTGGACCGAACCATCCGTCTCTTAATCGCGCTCGCCGTACAGTCGCTCGGACCGAAACAAATGAAAATGCTACATGCTGAATCAGATATACTGGCAACCGTCAACGGCCGCAGGAGGACCGACATCGCCGAAGAAATTCGAAAAAGACAACATATGCTGGGTGGAAACACGATGTGGCCATCGCTGGCCTGCAGTATGACCTGCTTGTCTTGTCTTCCGTTCACGTCGTAAGAATCATTAAGCATGTCGTAAGAAGCTGACGGCCGTAAACTCGTAAGAACATAGGCGCGTCGAAGTCGTAAAGTCGAAAAGTCGGAAAACGCCCACTGAGCCGAATGCGCCGTTGGGCACGTGGTGAACTCGCCGGTCACGTTATCGCCCAGCCGGCTCACACCATAACCTATTTGCTGGCTCGGGCAATCAACCACTGGAGGACAGCGTCGAGATTCGTCTCTTCTTTTGCGCTGATTCCATAACAGCTCACCTCTCGATGAGAAACCTCCTTGAGGTTGAGCGCATCGATAAGCTCGTCGACAGAGAGCTTGCCTGGCAGATCAGACTTGTTGCCGAGTACGAGGAGCGGAATGCCTTCGAGGGCTGGCTTCTCTAACAGTAGCTTTAGCTCTTCTCTCGCAACCGGAAGAGCGTCTCTGTCGGCCGAGTCGACAATAAACCTGGACGGGTCAGCGGAAGCGACGCAGCACGTGCGACCGGGTCTTACACGATGGCATTCACCCCACGGCAATACCTCTCCCACATGGAGCGGAACCTAGGCTGACCTCCAAGGTCCCAACTGTGTTCATGGTCAGCAGATGAACCACGGCAGGGTAAACTGCCTGCATCCCGGAAGAGTGGCTCAAACCGGCTTGGTGCCACAAGAGGTGGACCTGCGTGACCAAGGCGGCACAGGGAAGCACTCACCACTTCAATGTTACATGGCCTTTCTGAACGCGCTTCATGTTGAAACCAACGGTAGGGATGGAGCTATGGCCATTAGCGCTTGGACCAGCTGTGACGATGGAGCTCGTGGGCGCGCAGAGCTGCGCAGCTTGCACGCTGCTGCTTGCACGACATGGAGCGAGGATTGACGCACTCAACAGTGAACTCTCCTCCCTAGACAGCATCTTGTCAGTCGGACATGTTCGCAGAGATCTCGTGGATGTAGCGCGGCCACTTCCCGATCTGGAGATCACTCACCGCCAGAACTCTCAGCAGCGACGTCTTGCCAGCGTTTTGCAAACCGATCATGGTGATGTCCATCTCTGTTGCCCTGCAAAGTGAAGGTAGTCAGCTTCCATCTCGAATCATCTCGACATGTCGTG